TTTAAAAAGGAAATATGCAGTATAAATAGAGATCTTCGAAAATATGATGCTTATTCATAAAACAGGCAAAATATGCACCATCAAACCGTGTCCAAAATTTAAGAAATGAAGTAATTCATACATATATCCAAACGAGCGTACTTTCTGGTTGCAAGAAAGAAATATGCATTTGCATTAAAATCCGGCCCCTAGTGATGGCAAACGAACATCAGCTCACCTTCTCTGTTCCTTCCGTTCAGTTCTGCCCAAGTGACAATGTCCCCACAGAGCTCCAGCTTTTCACGAGTGCTCACAGCCGAACACAGCTTCACTTGCTTTGTGCAACAGCGTGCAATAACGAATTGTTGTCATGACTCGGCATTTTTAATCCTTTCTAAAGTGTGACGTCAGAGGAGAGACGCTAACTGTAGGCGGACGTCACATTAACATGTTCGTGTTTGCACACAGATCCGTTCAAGGCGAGGGACAGCAGCGGTACGGGGTACAAACACGTGGCTCGCGTGCTGGTGGTGGGTTCTGCACTAAATTTGTCAAAAGAACCGTAGACTGGTTAGTTCTTTGGTTACTAACGGCATTGGTTCAGCTACAGATGTTGTCTGAAGGGACATAATAGTGTGACATGGCGCCTAAAAGCCGGAATAGTGAAATCAGAGAAAACGGCCATTGCTAGGCAATGGTCTGTTGAAACACGTTTCCGGGACGACCATGTGGAACATTCTGTTGGTAAACAACGATTAAGTAAACATTAAGTTTCCGTTATAACGGCGAATAACAGATGATTTGAACTATTATACCTGGTGTTCTGTCTCTGGTCCGTGTGAAGCCAGCTAAAGCCGAGAGAGAGTTCCAGAGGACTGAGGATTGAGGATGGAGGATTCAATAGTTGAAGTGTTACCAAACAACGACTGGTAAGCGGACGTTGAAGGATTTTTTTCTGTGTGTTATAGTGACTCGTACAGTAATCTTGAGAGTGTTACAGCTGTAGCTACGACTTGTGACTATCCAGTAAATCGATTCACCAACCGAAACCCCGTCTACAAGTCACTAATACCCGTGACAACAGGTAAGAGTGAAACGATTGCAGGCTTCAACGTGGATGTGAGAGCGCAGTCTTTTCTCTTTGGAATTTGTGCGGGATTCGGTAGCTATGATTCAGTCGATATTACAGTAACGGCGAGTTCTGTAAAGAATGTTTTGTCTAGGTAGCAACGCAGTTTATTCCATGAAGCTGTCTTTCCATAACTTCCCAAATTCGGCGAAATCGTCGCTTTCACTCAAGGGTCATTATATATAAGAGCGAATCAAAGGAAACCAACCCCAGTGGTTATGAGAGGATCACATGATGGCAATACATGACAGCATTGTCTCTCGACATTACAATGTAGGTCTTTATGGAGAAGAGAGAAGTATCTCTACTATTGTTATAATGTTTATTCTGTTTAACTGGTTTTCCAGAAGTTTCCAATCAATAAGTTGCGTATGATTTCAAAGTGACCCTAGATGTCTGTAACGTGTAAAGCTAGACCAGTTGAAGGGTTATCAGTGGAGACGGTGGCCAGGAATGGGAATTGTCAAAAGGTCCCGTTGTAATTTCAACGGTCTGTATACTAATTATGTAACAAAAGTTTATTTGAGACCCAACAGCGAGTATAGACCGTTGACTTCGACGTAATAGCGCCACAAAAAATTTAAAAATATTCGCAAATGTCAAGGCCACCCGCATTGTGTGTTATAGTCATGAGAGTGTTCTAATGCTATTAATTATGTTGCATTAAGCTTTTAGTACTTCCTTATCTCTATCATGTTACAACCTTCGAAGCTCAGACTGTAATATTTAGATGAGAGAACACGCAACGCTGGCTTCTTGCCTTCCCGACGTTTCTGATGCAATTTTATTGCAGCCAAATTGAATTACTGGGTGTTTGGGCTTCTCCATCGTCTGGTATTCTAGAGACTAGAAAACACGACATTTCGGAAACTGGGTCTCTTTCCGTCCTGAGGTGAAGGGGGGAAGACACCTACTCAGTTGGGACCCTTAGAAAGAGCTAACCTTGATCACTGGGCAACCCTTATCAGATTCACACATCTATTTAATCACCTGAGACCAGGCTAAATAAAATAAAATATACAATAAAAATTGTGATAGAGCACGCACAGGCGTGGAACTAGATAGAAAGGGAAATAGAAATTTGTGCTACAAACCTAGCCAATAAAACCAATTGCATGAGCACCAATGAAAAGAAATGGAAAAAATTGAAGACATGTAGTATCTACCACTAGCGCCATCTGTGGAGTAAATCCTGAACACTCGAGACTGAAATCTTATGAAAACGCATGAAGAATCTGTCACGTCATGCGGACCTCTGTGAGCTAGAAACCTCATTGCTGAAGAGATGGATCCAGATAGGAGAAATGTCCGAACTGGGTTGGCTGAGAGGATTGGTTCAGCATGCTTATATTTTCTACACCTGCTGTTACTTTCAATTTCCAAGAAACTCATAAAAGTTGTAAATAATTTCCTATGATGAAGTTAGAATCATGTCATGAAGACGTATGGGGAATTGGAGGAATGGCACGAGATGGGGGTGAGTGGTTGACTTCACGCCCCGGTCACCTCACCCCCAGAGTAAGAGTCCCCGTTATCTATTTGTGTATGCCCCAGAACCGTGGAGAAGAGGAATGTCTGTTGCTATTTCCGGGAATCGAATCGCGATTCCTCGGTCGATCAGACTGAGCTAACCCGGTTCCCTCTCAAAGCTCATATGTTTTCGCAATTCAGTGTTTCACATTTACGATGTTATCGTTATGGAAATGAACAAGTTTGTTGCAACCAGAAAAGACTAAGATTACAGTGTTCCATTTCTGTCTCCGTTGGAATTAACATAAATGTGCCCACCCTGAATAGGAAGTTGGTCTAAAATATCTGCAGAAGCGTTTCCCAATGTATGGTTCGCAGGCCACTTAGTGCTCGCGAACGTTTTCTGCGTGGAGGATTTCTGGACGTCATATCGTAATTTTTTCTTTCTAATTTGAAACCAACCTTCTTGGACGAGAGAGGAAGTGACAGAAAAATGGAGAAAATTAAGCATAATATGTAGGCCACCAAATGTTATGGGGGTGATCAAATCAGGAAGGGTGAAGTGGGTGGAGCATATACGAGTATTATGCATAGGAAAGAAGGGAATGCATACAAAGTTTTTGTACTGCTTTGTAGAGGAAGAATTTGCTTTCTGTCGATAGCGTTTAGCTTCTTCCGAGTAGCCACGGCATTTGTTTCCCTTTTCGGTCGAGCTGTTTTTTTTTCTTTTCTTCTTGGATTTAACCTGCTTTGCCCTTGTCAGTCTTCTACCGAGATGCAAGGCCACGCTTTTCACTTCACTTCTCTGGGGTAGCTCAACAGTTCCCATTTGCACTGTCAGGTAATGCATGCATTTGCTTTGATTTATTTCAATTCTCCATTTCTTCGCCAAATCGTTGATCTTACTGATGGCGACTTGGAGTTTCATTGAGGCTATCGCTGGATTTTTATACATGGCTAATATTGCTGCATAATAGGTGAAAATGGCAGTTGTTGTATTGTCTGATGTCAGAAGGCCGCTTGTATAGATAAGATATAGGACGAGCCCTAAGACACTTCCTTGCAGTACGCCTGCTTCAGTTTTCCTTAAGGTTGTGTTTCCCTTATTCAAGAGAAAAAATCATGCTTACCGCAGTCAAGTTTTTATAACAGCGCTGTCCCGCCATACTGAATTTGCGATTGATTTCTAATTGCTATCGTGCAACTTCTTCCAGCTCCTGGAGTGCAAATTACACGATTTCCCGCTTCGAAATAGCGACGTGTATTTCTTTTTCCCGTAATTCGTTGCGCGTAGATCATTTCGGAAGACGTCACGAGGTGGAAATTTTAAGGACTGGCTTAGAAGAATGTCAGAAACCTTTATCATTATCCGCTTCTGTTATCAAGCCTTCTGTTCGTTGAATAGTAGTGTTATCAACAATAAATTCGACGAGAAAATACTGTATTTCGCTCTGTCTTTATCACCAATTTCTTCCATTGAGAAAATGTTTGCAGTGTCTTAGAGAATATTTTTATATCAGTGTATTCTTTGTGGGAATTGTGCTGTTCGGCATTTCGTATATGTGCTTCACTGGAGACAGTAGCCGTATTATTATACAAAATTAAAGAGACGTTTGTATGTTGAAATTGAAACTAATGTTAACTTAACTTGTTAATTTAGTACATTCAGGAAATCGACGATTATTTTCACTGAACCTTTATTACTTTCGTTACTAGCTGCGTCACAAATGTCATAATAAGTTCATTAATCTGCTTAGAATGCGAAATCGATTTATATTGACCCGTAGAATTCTTACATACAATCAGAGCATTTCACGTACCATATCCAGGAAATATTGCTTATTAAGGACTTGAGTATGTGGTGTGAAGATATAAAATGCAAGAAAGTCGCCAAGAATTTTTAAGTAGGCTCTTACTCCCTTAGCATCACTGGGTAATATGCATATGAGATAACGTATTTTACGCTCTAAACTCCTATAGAAGGAACAATGCATACGGAAAAATGTGTGAGACAGTGACGTAAGGGAGTACTGATTGTAGAGTTAATACTCCCACATCCTCTCCCCTTTTTCATGGATGAGGAATCGCTCTTCTCTGCTTTAGCGACACCAATTTCTTACATTCCAAATATAAATTTTGTTTACGCGTCTTCAGAGTGAGTGCGGAGCCCTCTGGTGAACATGACGGAAATCGTTCAAGAACCACAAATATCTAGCATATCTAGTTACCTTAGTTGCCGTGATCTGTGACCGTGATCACGGACAGTTTAACATCAAGGAGTAAAAGATGTCGTTGTGATGGCATAAGGAAAACCCTTAGGCTGTGTATTTGCGTGAGGTATATCGGTGTCATAGTCAGGTGATGTGTATAAATTATTTAGTAGTTACTTTTTCTGTTACAGGTACAACTTTTATACTTTATTAAACGTACAAATTAATTTATGTAGTTGTAATCGGCAATGGCCATAGTCTTAAAATAGCTTGTTATCCTGGCTGTAAATAAAAGTAATATTTATGTACAATTACGGACACTGTTTTATTGGGAAGTGACCACAATTCTTGGGCCAGCAAAGCACATTCTGGCATGTCATTTCACCCACTTTTCGCGTAGGTTAGGATATCAGGGCAACTGATTTTACGGACGTAACCCGGGGAAGTGTCATAACACCAAATCTCTTGACATTGGTAACTCTGATTTCTTTATATCTGTAAAGTGTTGACATGTGGTTGGTTCTCTTTTTCTTATTCGGTAGAGACTAATTTGGAAAGCAGGTAAAATATTGAAGCATTAAATGATGTATTCTCTGTTGATTTTTCTGGTTCATTCGTATTTAAAGATAATGTCCCTGCATTTTGTTTTGGTGTTGTAGGTGCTGATTGTAAAGAATATGTGATTTCATTAGTAATTGTATGGTATTACATTGTTTTGTATGTTGAGGATAGCACAAAATGAGTTGCTTTCTCTTGCAATAATTACGCAAGGTTTCATAGATGCTTCTTGAAAGTTAAGTAAGATAGGTATTTTAAAAGCTGCAGTGATAAGAGAACTGTTCACGTAAAGAATGAGTTTTGTATTAAAATAATAGGTAAAGCTATTTCTGTAACAGGCTGTGGAGGCCCATAGGGTTGTGAGACGTTGAGGCTCTCACGTTTTCTAGACAATTGACTCACAGATGGCAGTGAGGTTGTCTGCCTTATGCGCCAGCCAACTTTTACCCCCTGAAAGATTCCTGGTACTCATTTCTGTTAGAGGCTGACTCTACCCCAGGGCCATATTGCGGCTCGAAGGATTAGGTCATTGAAAAAAACTCCACCGTATCGGGAATGGAACCTGTGACCTGCCAGCTTGTAGCGTGGTGCCTGAACCAACTGATACAGAAATTATACTGTAGTAAGTGACTATTCCCACATGTAATGGTATTAAAATGGAAAGCTGAACCGACATGATGGCATTATTCAAGGTAAATACACACTGATACTTCCCTTTATCCACTTGTAAGTGTAGGTCACCCCTGAGTGTTGTTCCACTAGCTGTCTGTCTGTCTGTCTGTGTCGTACATGCCAGAGCATGATCCTACTTTCATTTCTGTGTTTCAGGTTGTGAAGAGCCCTTATTGTAGCTGCTTAGTCACATACCCATCATGTTATACACAGATGAAGAAAAAATAAAACAGTCCCTATCTAATGTAAGTTTCTCTTTGTGTCGGTTCTTTCCCTTTTGTGAAGTTTCATGCACAAGCATCCAGAGTGTGCATTGTTACTGTACAGGATTATGCATGTGAGATTTAGGATGGAAAGAGACCATAAAGGTAAAGTTGTCCCTGTGCTTAACTAATTAAGCACTTCACCATAAAGGTGTATGGGGGAGTGGGTGTATAGGTCCATGTTTTCTTGGAGGTGAGTGGTCAGCTTCATGTCCTGGCCACTTTACCCCTAGGGAAAGAGCCCCTGGTATGCATTGTATAGGAGGTTGGGTGGATCCCATAGCTAGTCTGGATGACGTAGAGAAGAGAAAATTCTTGCCCCGCCGGGACTTGAACTCCGACTCCTCAGTCATCCAGCCTGAAGCCAGTTACTATACAGACTACGCTGTCTGGGCTCTTGAAAGAGACCATAAACACTTCTAAAAATTTTGTGGGAAATATAACGATTTTGTTTGTTCTTTTCTGCTTAACATCACCACTGTGGAGACAACACAAGCATTTGAGTAAAGATTGGAATTGTCCAGGTGCTCAGAATGTGTGCAGTAGTTAACTTTGTATATGAAGATCACTGAATTGTACTCTTTAAATTTGTGTATTTTAAGCCAGGTTCATTCATTCAACACCCTCACACCTTATTCCTTTAATATCCATGTTAATATTATCCTTACAGTTATGCCTAAATCTTCCTAGTGGGTGTCCTTCCTTGAGGTTTGCTTACAAACACATGGTATGCATTTCTCTTCTGTGTGTGTTTGATGCCCTGCCCATCTCATCATCCTTGACCTGATCATTCTAATTGTGTTTGGTGAGGAGTTCAAGTGATGAAGCTCCTTGTTATGAAGTTTTCTCCGTCTTCCTGATTCATCCTTCTTCTTGGTTCTATATATTCTCCTCTGCACCATGTTCTTAAATTTCCTCAATCTGTATTTTTGCCTTAATGAGAGAGACTAAGTTTCACACCCATACAGAAGTACAGGAGAAGTTACAGATTTTTACATTTTAATGTTTATGTTCCTACACATCGGACAGGAAGACAAAAGATTCTGAACTGAATGGCAGCACACATTCCCAGACTCTGCTCACCTCTCAATTCTTTTGTGAATCAGATTTTGATTTGTTGCTGTTGTTGCCAAATGTGTGAACTCTGCCTAGTCACTATTGTAATGTCATCATTTTGCCGTGCATCTTGGCTACTGGACATCAACGGATACTCACTTTTCTCTATGGTTACATGTAAACCATCCTTCTGTTGTTTCATGGAACTTCAGTGGTTTTTCTTCATGGTATTTGTGTTATCACTCAATATATTAACATCATTAATAAGCATAGATGAAAGTTTGTGTGCCCCATTCAATTCAAGATGGTGGGTAATTAAAAAATGTCATCATGAACAATCTGTCTGCATTGCGTCCTGTTGTGTGTCACTCAAAACTGTATATTTGTGAACGCAACAATTCAGGTAGAAGTAATAACGAAGGTTATTTACATTAATGTTAATCACAACATGTTCTGACCCCTATTGGGTCGTCATCAGGTGTATTTCTCTGTACTCAGATGCTGAGTATTTGTTCAAATATGCATTATATTTCTTTGTATTTGTCCGCATGATTTGTGAATATCGTGAAGAATGTTTGGGTTCCATAAAATGCTGGGAAGTTGCACAACTGGCAGTTTCTCAAGAAGGACTGAGCTACACAAGTGATTTGTCCATATGATTATGTGATTATTGCTTAGCAGTGAAATTTTGTTTTGTTTACTCTTTGTCCTTAAGCCGAATTTGTATAAAATTAAATTAAATTGAAGTTAGTTGAAAATATATTTAAAATTAATTAAGATTAAAGTTAAGAAGAATTTTAGTACTGCACACAGTGTGTATGGGTTCATATTATGAAGTTATGTATTTAATTGTAAATAGTTCAAGATGGTTGTGAATGTCTGTTTGACCAATCTGACGGTACACTTTCTATTCCTGGCTTGATTGTTCTAGGTATTGCACGTATAGTAGAGTTGGGGGCAGGTCATGATGTTATGGGTCTCTTGCACTGTACGTTATTTACATGCTGCCAAGTTATTTATACTACGTCGGAGTGGAGGCTGAGATATGTGTTGTCATGGTTTCCTTATGGTGTGTAGTGCAGCTCACGTCTTGTTCTGTATTTGGTTGTTTTGAGTCTCCATGACTGAAGAGTATCGTATTTGTTAAGCACTTTTCCTGATATCTGCTTGTCTCTCTTTTCAGTACCAGAATCCGGATATTACACGAAGAGATGTAATTAATACGATTCAGCACTATCCGAGTCTTACCACACACCTGGAACCATTCGGTAAGTTCTTTCATCTTTTATGGGACTTGAGGTTTTCACACCGGTGGTTATGATGAGTTCAGTATTGTACAGTTCGTTGCAAGTCGGCCTTTGTTTTGGAGGCACATGTCGCCTCCATTTTGAAGGTCAGAGAATAAGCCAAGCACAAGCCAACACGAGTCAGGAAGCAAAGCTAATTCTTCGACACTGAAGATGGAGGCTTCATGTTTCTCAGAAACTTTGGTGGAGGGAATGTTCTTATTGGTTCATGTTAAATTGAAATTTAATTGTATAATGGTCATCTTCTCTGTGAAACTTACCATATGATGCCGGTATACCATCTCACAGACTTATTTCCATAAGATGGAGTCATTTCCACCACGATTCAGTATCGAATCAACCATCGTACACATATTATTGCTTTCAGTCTTATGGCATTGCATCCTTTTTGCGAACTTGTGATTCCCGTGTGATGATTGTCAAGTCAGCGACCAGAATGTGGTGGAACTGACTGGCCTATGGACACAAAATTTGTGTGATGATACAGCGAAAGTGGCAGTGTAACTGGTTTTGCTAAAGTGAAAGCGTAATGTGAAAGGGGCAGTTAAGAAAATTAATTTTGAAAACATGCTAAATGAGAGATGCCCATATGTGTAACACAAAATTAGGTTAGAAGTGGTAGTACAGTGATGTGAAGAGAAACCTGGGTATTGTTCCAAGCTCTTTTTTGCCCACACATTAATTTTTCCAACAAAATTTAGCTTGTTCGTTTTGTCAGTGATATACTGAGGCCAGGGAAAGGAGTTTGGTGGATCAGTTCTCTGTACATGGCCCTTGTACTGTTGTGCTCCCCCCCCCCATTTTCCCAACCAGTCTACACATTCTTCTTTCACTAATGTTGGTTGCGATAACCTTCCCTGGTGACAAGGTGTCATAGGCTAGAGGTGGCTGCAGGGAATATAAAGGTAGAGAGGGAGCAGACTTGACTGCTATCTTCCCCACCATCTGTGGGGCTTCATTCTGTGGCCACAGTATAGTTATTTGAAATTTTATTTGTAATATGCAAACTGTGGCATGTAACAATCTTACTTACTTACTTATTTGAGGCACAGCAGATCACTGTGGTCGCGGTGCAAGTGCAAGAAGGACCACCCCTCCTACATTCATACTTACTTATTTATGGAGCTGAGCCCTTCTTGAGGAGGAGCCAAATCTGCAGCTGCTCAAGAACTTCCCAGCATTTTATGGAACCCGAAGGTTCATTATCATGTTCACAAGAGACCTCTACTGGTCCCTATCCGGAGCCAGATCAATCCAATCCATACCCTTCCAACCTGTCTCTCTTAAGATCCATTTTAATATTGTCCACCCACCTGTGTCTTGGTCTTCCCAGTGGTCTCTTTCCTTCTGGTTTTCCCACCAATATCCTATATGCATTCCTCTTCCCCCCCATTCGTGCTACATGCCCTGCCCACCTCATCCCCCTTGACTTGATCATTCTAATTATACTTGTAGAAGGGTACAAATTATGAAGCTCCTCATTATGCAGTTTTTCTCCTACCTCCTGTTTATTAATTTCTCGAGTAATAAATGTAATAAGTGTTTCAAGTTAAAATTGCATTAAAATTAGTAAAATGTATGTAAAGTTGTCCTCCATTTTCAAAATAATGTAGTGAGTCTGCTAGTGCGTGTCATGCTTGTTGCACGTAGGCATAAGTTTGCTTTATATGAGACACTCAGCTAATCCATACTCACTTGCTTTTGAATCACGTGTGTGTGTGTGTGTTTGCTTATACACCACAGTACACTGTGTGTGTGCGTGCATGCATGCGTGTGCTGATTAGCAGTGCAGTGAGAAATGTCCATTGTTCCTCGTTCATAATCATTCTCCAGTTTGTACTGTGTAACCTTTGCAGTTAAAGGAATGTCATTAAATAAGGCAAGAGAGGTGCATTGTAAGATTCAGTGAACAGCCACCAAATGGATAGGTTCTGACAGCGGCGGCTGTTAGAGTCAGCTAGAAGTTCACTGAGGTTTTGAAGAAACATGGTGCCTCCATCCTAGGGTTGAAGAGAAAGCCAAGCTAGATACCAGCAAGAAGGAGGCTCCAAGCCAACATTCCTTGCTTGGCATACTGTTTGAGCCTGAAGATGGAGGCAGTATCTTCCTCCAAATGTCAGTGGACTTCTACCAGACCACATGGTGTTACGGCCCAGAAGATGGACCTCTAAGTAGATAGAAGTCTGGTGTAAACACACACACACACACATTCTGGTACTATGTGTCTCAGTTTTAGGAACTTGTATTTAAACGTACTACATCGTGTGTGTTTTGTGAACCTTTAAAGTACGTACTTTTATATAAGTCTGTCTGTCTGATATCGCATATGTGCTTCGTATGAAGTTTAGGTTAGAGTAAACCCTCGCTGATCCTGTTACAGTTAATCTGAATCGAAATATGAAAAATACAAAATGCTGTTCAAGTTTGGTACACACTGTTAAAAGATGTGTGGCATTTAGGAAGGGAGATGAGTCATTATTACGTTCAAATTCTGAATCTTCTCTTGATAAATAAATGTATTGTCTTTTTACAGTTTTTAAATGAAAGCTGTGCAGTAATATTTTTCTATTTATTTTAATCAGCACTACTTTTATCATTAAATTTTCCATTTATTTGTGTTCTAAGTTTTTTGCCTTTTTAGGGCTACGATGTGCTTCACTAATCTGGATTATTGCTTAACCTGGATGACCTCTGCCCCCTCCCCCAATTACTTTGGATTAGCGAGGGTTTACTGTATGTTGAATATAAAATATTTTGATATGCAGACGGTATGCAAGTATTCGGGATATTATATTCTCCAAAGATGAAGATTAATGGTTTTCCAATGAATGTACTGATAATTTATGAGACTGAGTTTCTCACAGCAGTGAGTCTGATGAGTGCAGTTTTCTGAGATGTGATGGCATGCAGTCTGGTAAATTGTTACCAGTGTTTCAAGGGGAGAGGGGTCTGATGTCTCCATCTTTAGGGTACTGTAACCCTATTTCCCTCACTGAAAATTATTTAATTGTGGTTATGACCAATTTATACATTGTTTTCACACCCTGAGAGGCGCTCTTACAGCGAGGTACCATCCCGCGACCGTCTAATTGTAATTCAACATAGTCCTACTTAGGCTTATGGTGTCACTGTTGTCAGTAACGTCGCCGGTTTGCTCCTAGTGTTCTCTTCTGTCGAGATAGGCAGGGATTTTGAGTGATAAATCCATGATTTGACATTGTAGACGTGCTAGAGGGAGTCTTCAGTTGCCTGCCCGTGTGCCTTGGAGACCTCAGAAGGTTTAAGATAGACATCTCGGAAAACAGACGCGGGACTGTCACCTGGCTTGACCCTTGGCTGCCTCTTATTTTCCAGTAATGACCACTGGGGGACTTGTGGGTGTGAGCTGCCTGAGGGTGAGTGGGAGGACAGTTGGAGTGTAGACAGAGAACAGAGAAGGGAGTAACAGGAGGGGTAGCGAGTAGTGTGTACGGACAGCAAGCTGGGAGCAAATTGGTGTGAATAAGAGGAATGACGATGACGGAGTGATCACTGAGAGGCAACCTTGAAGGAGGAATCATGTAAAGATTGACCATCATTGTACGCAATTATAATTTAAAAGCGGTAATACACAGTGTTGGTTCCGCAGACCCCGTAATTCATAAACCCCAAAGTGTTTTCCCCTCCCAGTATCCGCGGGACAAAGGTCTCATCTCAAGTGATAGTCGTGGCATCTGCAGGTTGGCGGTTGCCTGCAGTACTCTGAAGATGGAGGCAGCAGGTTACTTCGAAATTGGGTACCCATCTACCGTACTACGTGGGGGTCACATCCGAAGGGACCAAAATCTTTTATGTAACTATCTCCATGGAGCTAAGTCCTTCTTGAGAAGCTGATAGTTATTCAACTACTGAAGAAATTCCCAACATTTTATGAATCTCGAATGTTCATTTCCATGCTCACAGGAGCCCAACACTGATCTCTGTCTGAGCTAAATGAATCCAATCTGTATCCCCCATTCTATTTCTTTGAGGTCAGTTTGAGTGTTTTCCTCTTGTCTGTTCCTCATTTGCGCTAGTGGTCTGTTCAGGCTTTCCTAGCACCTCTCTCTCATCCCATTCTCCTTGATTCTGTGATCTTTCTAGAAACATAATTTTCTTCTTAATGCATATAAGATTTTAGTGAGATTTCTGAAAGGGAGAGAACACTTGGGAGACCTAGGCATAGATGGGGTGGGTAATATGAAAATTGAACTGAAGGAAATAGGGTGCAAAGGTGTGGACTTGGATAGGGTCCAGTGGCAGGCTCATGTGGACATTGTAATCAATTTGTGGGTTTCACAAAAAAGGTGATTACTTTCTTGGCGAGCAAGTGACTCTTAGCTTCTCAGTGACGACTGTGATCCGTGTGTGAATGTGTGCCGTTTAGTTGCATTTGCCTGAATTAACAGGAGATCCCAGTAACTGACAGTCCACTCCTCTTGTGTTTTGTCTTCTTGTCAGTTTTCAATGACGGGAGCAAGAGGGAGCTGTTTAACCTTGAAGGGACGATCCCCGTGACTTACAAAGGTGAGTAATGGCCTTGTCACAGCAGGTAACTTTAATTTGGACGTCACATGACCATGGGCATCGGCATTAAGAAAGAGGTAAGAGGTAAAGTTGTCTGTGTGTTTGGCTAATTAACCACCACATCGTGAAGATGTATGGGGTAGTGGAGGTATAGTTATGTCCACTCTTATCCTTGGCATTTATCAGGCTGAGTGGTCAGCTTTATGCACTGGCTGGGCAAGAGAGCCTGGTACTGTGTGCATAGGAGGGGCCCCTAAGTAAGTCTGGACACTGTGGACAAAGTCAGTATCTCATGAACTCCTTGAAGAATGGAAGAGGCTGTCTTCTGGTTTTGACTTTTTGATACATTGGAACCCACGTTTAATGTCCAGGTTTAGTGATCTCAAGACAGTAATTTCAGCGTTAAATGCATTTAGGATTTTCATCGGTTTAATGTTAATTTTGACTGCCTCTGTAGTCTAGTGGTCATAGTTCCTGGCTACAGATCCAGAGGTCCGGGTTCGATTCCCGGTGCTACCAGATTTTCTGAGAAGTAGTGTGTTTGGAACGGGGTCCACTCAACCTTGTGAGGATAATAGAGGAGCTATTTGAATGGAAAAGTAGTGGCTCCAGTCTAGAAAACCGAAATTAACGGCCATGGGGATTCATCATGCTGACCACATGATACCCTCTGTCCACTAAAGTTGGCACTAACTTTGCTGACAAGCGGCAGTCACTTGGTCGGTATAGTTCGCTTGTGGACTGAAGCCACGGAGTTTTTTTTTTTTGTTAATGTTTGCATCCCTTGCCCTCTAAATGGGAGTTTCACCACAGTAGTGATGAGAGTGAAGGTTCTGTTATCAGCGGTATTGTTTCAGTGTCATGAGAAGCATCGGTGTCCTGACCGCGACCTTGGCAAAAGCATTCTCTGCATGCCCAGGGTATATGTGTTCCTCTGATTCACCCTGCCATTTTCTCTGTCATATCATTTCCTGCTTCTCTGCAATGCCCAGTGTGTGTTCTGTGCAGTTTCGATACAGATGGCTGTTGTCAGGAATGCAACACCTGTAATGGTGTCTCTAGGTCAGAGAGTGGTACACTTCTAGGTGTCAGTATCTGTTGCATCTCGGTATGTTTTATAGTGATTGCATGCATGACACGCCCCATAGTTTGGCTCCCAGCTAACTTTAACAGTTGCTTAGAATTCCAGGGAAGACTGCTTCATGGGTCGTGTATGTGTATGCCATGAATTAGTAGCAAAATTTTTGAATATATTCATAACTGGAAAAGAGCTTGGAGATATATGACTTTAAGATCTTGATTATTTCTTTTGGTATGAACCATTGTATCTCCTTTTGTTTAAGTCACTTGCGGTTCATGGTCTTCTGGGAAGTGACATTATATAGTGTGGGAGATAGCACCAATATTTCAGAGGAAACCTGTGTATCCATCTAAGAGTGTCATCTCCCTGAAGATGGAGGCAGCAGTTTCCTCCATGTCTACCAGACTGTATGGCTTACAAGCCCAGAAGACAAAAACCTTCTCAGTGATGAACTGTTGGGTCCCTAAATGGTGGGGAATTTCTTGATTAGCTTGGTGTACTGTTGGCTTCTGGGGAATGGCTCTGCTCAATGGGTTTGGTTGGTTATAACTTGCAGAGTGACTGCTTAGAATGCGAGAACTAAGATAGGAGGGCTAACTTCAGTTTGGTCTTTGGGGGAAATAGATTGTGTGGATGGAACTGGCTCAGGTTCATGTCTGGGGTAGTCTTTGATGTTAGGGGTGTTGAACCAGAGAGTTTGCATAAATCATAGTAACATAATGAGGTATTCTGGCAGTTATGAGGGAAAGTCAGTAAACAGGTTAAAATCGATATAAAACATAAAACATGATATTTGAGCCTGGAAAAAACATTAGTTCTCTACATATACTCCACCAACATTGATACATTTGTCCCATCTCTTTACCAGTGCGTTGAAACCTGCAGCACAGAAGTCTTTTGACTGTTGTCTCAGCCACATTTACACCTTCATTTCAACCTCATCATCATCATCATCATCAGCAGCAGCAGCAGCAAGGTGTCTTACATGGGTGGTGCTTCTCACTGTAAACAGGAAACATTTCTTTATCAATATCCTTTGCAGTGAGCCCTTTTACCCACAGAAACCACACAGCAGAACACTGCTCTCTGGTAGTATGCTCCTTAAGCACACTCACCATTCTGACTACTGAAACAATCCTCTGAACATGCGCGTCTGCTACGTAGACTGTCATGAAGCTGGACTGTGCTGCTACCTAGTGACAAAAGTAATTAAAGTAAAGCTATCCCTATAACAGGCCCTGAAGGACCATACTGTAGAGAGACGTTGAGGGTCCCACATTATCTAGACAATTGGCTCAATGATGGTGGTAAGGTTGTCAGCCTTACGCGTTGGCTGCGCTTTACTCCCCAGGAAAATTATTTCATTAATTCCTGGTACTCATTTCTGTTAGAGGCTGAGTCGACCCCAGGGCCATAGTGCAGCTGGAATGATTAGGTCAATTGAAAAAAATCCAATGACCTTGTCTGGACTTGAACCCGTGACCTTCCGGCTTGTAGCATAGTGCCTCAACCAACTATGCTACCGTGTACCCCGCTGCTGCCTACTGATATACATAGAAAACCTGCTATGTCCATTACAGCTGTTTTACTACCATTTGTAACCTGTTTACTGACTCCCCCGTACATACCAGGCTTGTAACCCTGAAAATTAAAGTGTTAGGATGATCGAGCATGCAGTTCTGGGTTTAAATAGATGTGTAGAATTTATAATATGAGTTTTTCTCTTAGTACCTAGCAATAACTTCAGATTTTTGAACGCTGAGATGAATGACAGACAGATCATGAAAGGCACATACTTTAAGATGCTGATGCTTTCACCACAGAGGTCAGAACTTATGCAAGCTAGAAGAACTCTGTTTCATGTCAGTGTGTCTAAAAGAAGTGCCAGGATCTTAGCCTGGTACTTAGAAAAGGGCTAGGATGCAACTATTGACAGCCTTGGCTTGACTAGACTACAGCCCTGTTTTCATACCCAGACACTGTAAAGGACCTTGTGTGCATAATTTAGTTCTGAATGTTACATATTGATCTCTACCAGAAGAAATGATCAAGGTTCTGCTGTGTGAATATAGTGAAATCCCACCGCTTGAAGTTTCTTTGGCAGACCAGTGGATTTGAACACTAAACCGAGAACTCAGTTAAACAGAACTTTGATACTGGGATTATTGACTTCTAATCATTGAACATTAATAGAGCTTGAAGTTCTTATAAACCATATTTAAAACTCTGCCTTTTCCTCTCAGGAAACAAATTATATCTCCATGACAAAGCCCAGTCAGTTAATGCTGTTTGGGGAAACAGCCTCTGTTTATTGTGACAACCATATGGAACACACAAATAAATACACTGTGTGGGCAGAATGCAGCAATTTTTAATGTTAGAGCAGGTGGTAAATATAGGGACTCCTGGGCCTTGAAGGGTTAAGTATCATTTTCACTGTATGTGCATTACATGTACTGTAGGATTTCGGTGTTAATTTCTGATACACTTTCTCCCTTCTTTCTTCACGAAGTGTTTTCAAGTGGCATGATGAAGCAGTTACTAAATCTGTGTGGTACCATTCCTGTACTATATGAAGGTAAGCGAGCATGAATAAATTTAAATAATATTAAAAATGTGTCAGTTTAAATTTTTGTGATATTAAATTAAGTAAAGAAATAAGGATGCTAATGTTATGAACCCCTCTAAATCAGGTTCATTGGAAAGAGACAAGTGGAAAACCTTGATGTAGATGGGAGGATAATATGACAAGAACTTCTGGGAAGATCTGATCACCTATTTTCCCCTTGATATGACATGGACAGCAGAGAAAAATATTAGGGAGGGGGGCAGACAGCAGGGTGATGTCATAAGCCAATTTGATATGATGTGCATAGGAAACAAAAAAATTAGGGGGTCACACAGACACGTAGTAATGTGATCTCAGAAGCCTCGTAACAAAAACAGGGTGGATACACAGACAGGTGGACAGACAGACAAATGGACAGATGCAGGTGGATACACAGACAGCAAGGTGATCTCATGCATCCTTCTGGCTCTCAGCATAGTGCCTCAAGAAACTAAAATTTTAGGTTAATTTTGGTTTAATATTTTATTGCTGTGTTTTATAATATAAAATATTATTACAATTCTTGATGAAAGAAATCACTTAGCAGAGCATTTGTTATGTAGTGAAACCTTTTACTCAAAGAAATGTAATTAATAGAACATGGCTGCAGGATATTGTTCTGTTTTTATTATTATTATTCTGTGTTTCTAAATGGAACTTATTTTAGCCATTCTCATGTTATGTTCTGCAATGAAAGAGGCTTTCTCTTGCAACATATTCTGCAGGCCATTCCTGTGTCTGTGCATTGTATATGATAGATTCTGGAATCTGCAGTTCATTTGGATTTGCCTTATTTTAGTTGCTGTAAATTATGCTAAATAGCAGGAGTGGCATTTTTACTGTACTAGACTGATATAGCCAGGAAAATGAAATGAAATTTTGGCTGATAAAATAAGCACTTGTTAAAGAGTTTCAGTAATTTTTTGTGACATGAGAAGAGTTGAATTGAGTTTGCCATGATGGCGTGTTGTTAGATGGAGACATATATTGAACATTTTGGTTGTGTCATTTTCTGTGTAGAATCACGACATTTTGGAAACTGGGTTTGTTGTTGGATCCGTTAGATGGAGCTGATTTATATCTTCAGGTGAGTCTGGAGAGAAGATCCAGGATAGAGGTTAGTTTTTATCTAATGGACCAAGATGAGCAGCTTTTATTTTGCACCTCATGACAAACAGAACCATTTTTCGAAACATCATGTTACTGTAACAAATTGAGATGTTTGTTTAGTAACATTTGTATCAACGAACTATATAAATGATACAGAATCTTCATGGGCAGTCAGCTGTGTGAAGTGGAATCAGTGTCAGATGTGTCAGAGGCTGTTTCTGTTATCAGAGGTCGGTATGGTGAGTGATTCTGCGCCCATGTTGTATCTGTATCCACAGAGTATGTTGTGGGTTGTCCAACACAAAAGGGAAAACTGTAAGTGAAGTCTGGTGGTCATGTTGTCCAATCTGGTACAGGACTCCAAAACATTGGCTAGTAATTGCACCTTCACACGGCTGATTACTTGTGAAAGTTTTGAATCATGTGTACATGATCTTAATGTGGAACTTTATTTATGTAGGTAACACGTACAACATTCCTATATGTATCTGGCTGATGGATACTCACCCGTATAATGCACCGATGTGCTACGTGAAGCCAACGTCTGGTATGCAGATCAAGGTGTCGATATTTGTCGATCATAACGGCAAGATATATTTGCCTTATCTTCATGATTGGGTTCCGGTAAGTAACACCCAGCCTGTACGTCATTTTTTTCCAGGTGACAGTCTTGTATGCTCTGACAGTGCATTTGCAAGATGGATACAGATGATTCTCATCAGTCGTGTTTTTGTTATGCGTGTTTTCGCATATCTGCAGTTTTATTTGTTCTGTGAGTAACGTACCTGTCTTGTCTGTGGCCCACGGCATGTCCACTAAGATGCACACGCAATTTCTTTGATTCATCTTACCAGTGTGACTCACATTGTTTCCTACGCCACTGTATTGACTGTCCATTCAGTGTTTGCTGTTTCATACGTTTTCAGTATACTCGGCAGTTCTTAGGAACACTACCCCTGTACCACCACCTGCACTCTACGCAGAGTACCTGAAGCAGCATTCTTGTCTGAAACATTTCTTTGTGTCTAAACTACACAGTGTGAGATCCCAGAAGTCTGCCAGATTCATGAACAGTTGTAAAGTTTGTGGTTCCCTCAGTTCTTGCAGGTGAAATGTTACAATGATATGCCAGTCTGCTTCAGCTGTACCTACATCTATGGGATATGAACAGTGTACTGCAAAAATTTTGAAGTAGATTGTAGTGTACTACTATCTTATCAGTGTGGAAGCATACAGTCTGGTAGAAATTTACCAACATTTCACGAAACATTCTGCCTTTGTTCTCAGAGTCATTTGAGTAAACAAAGCGAAAGGGAGTTTGTCCCACCAAAATGGTAAACTTGTGCCATATTACGTGCTGTCACATCCCAAAATAGAGGCCTTCCTATAGATCATAGTTATCGGCTGGATATGCAGCATTTGGTAGTTGAAGTGTTAAATTGTACTTAGATGATGTAATGTTAAGATGTCTCAATTCTTGTGCACCTGGATGTTCATGTGTAAAATGAAACTTAGTATAATAACAGTCTTATTTCTTTTATTTTCCCAGAACTCATCTGACCTCCTAGGTTTGATTCAGGTTATGATAGTGACTTTTGGAGAGCAGCCCCCTGTATATGCCAAACGTCCTGACATGCAGTCTTCCACCCCATACCCCACCCAACGTAAGTATCTGGAGTCATTGAATTTTAGTGTATTCTGTCATGGGCTGTGTTTGATAAGTGACAAGCCCAGGCATGTTTCTGGCTGTGATTGGTTTGACGAAGTTGTCGAGGGGAGAGATGTTGTGGAGGTAAAGGCAAAGTTGTGCCCGTGCTTAATCAAGCAATATGCCATGAACACGTATGGGGCAGCGGAGAGGTACAGCTTCATGCATCCTTAACCTTGGCACTAGATTAAGATGAGTAGTCACCTTCATGCTCTGGCTGCTCTACCTCCTAGGGAAAGAGTTCCAGATACACATTTTATGTGAAGCTATGTTACATCTGAAGTCAGTGCAAAGTCTGTGGAGGAAAAATTGTCTTGTCCTTGGTGGAATTGGAACCCCGAATCCTTGGTTGTCCAGCTCATAGCCTAGTCATGAGAAAGATTGAGAAATTCTGACTCAAAATTAAGTTCAGTTGCAATATTGTGGGTATAGGTACTAGTTATAGTCTTTATGCTTCAGCCTTCTTTACCTTCAGAAAAATATCCTTGATTCTTGTTAGATACAGGGCTGTGTGGACCTCACAGCCATTTGGGATGTCACGAAAAAGGGAAAAACCTCAACATCCCTACACAGGATCAATCCCTGGCCATCAAACCTAGAGGCAATTTTCTTAACAACCTACACGAGACTTGTCGATTGTACTTTAGCAGGAAAAAAGTCTGGTCTGGTAATTATATATAAATTGTGTTAATAGTTTGCACTCTGGCAGTAGTCTGTTTTATTAGCCCTTTGCCATCCCATTTAAAGCCAGAGAGTTGTGCTACCAATCCTGTTTTATCCAAGTATTTTAGTATTAAATGAGATTTCTACTGTGTTTTACCATCTTAGAACCTGAATGGATTGGTCTAGCTATACCACTCTTGAGTTGTATCTGGGAGGTGTTCAGCACACCTGCTGTGCTGACCAAGGTTCTTTTGTGGATTTCTTCACTTCCTTCAGGCAGATGTTTGGATAGTACCTGATTTTGGCCACAGCTGCTTCCTTCTGAATCCTTTTGAAACCGTCGTTCATCTGTGATCCTAGCATTTGACATATGTAGCCTAGCTACTGATAGTATTGTAAAACAAATCACAATCTACACTGTGTTCAAAGATCTCAGAAAGTCTTGCTAAGTTGGGAGAAGCAAAGGGTTAATTAAGCGTTCTTCACGTGTCGCATTGCATTCGATCCATAACCAGCCGTCTGCACTGTGTAAAGTTTCTAATCTTTTGTCTGGTTTGTTCTGTTGAATTTATTTCCTGTTTACCTGTTATTTAACAGGGCTTCCTAAAATGCAAGAGCCTTTTTTAGTTTATAATTCTGCATGAATCATCACTGTGTCATCAGTAATATTTGTTAGTAGATTTCTAAAGGGTTCTGACAATGTTTTATAACGCTCAAGAGTTAGTGGGTTTTCAGACTTTGTCCATCATCCTAAGCTAGACATGGGTTGTCCAGTGTTTGAGGTTGAGGTTATCTCTTTCAAAGGGATCCAAGACAGTAGTGCCTCCCCCCCCTCACCTGAGGGCAGAAACAGATCTAATTTCTGAAACGTGTTTTCTAGTTTTTAGAATTCTGGATGATGGACAAAGTCCAAAAATGCAGTAAGTCTGAGTAATCTTTGTTGTTTAACAAAGTTTGAAGTAAAGTGTGTGTTCAGGAGCATAAGCTTTCTGTGGTAGCATCTGTCAGTAATACCAACATGCTAGTTTTATGAACTTGTTTGATGGGAGCAGAACAGCTGTTGCTTGTTGTAGGGTTCTGAAAAGTCATGTGGAAACAGAGCTTTAAAACAGAATTTAACTTTTGTTAAGTGTGTGTGTGTGTTTTTCTTTCCATTTAAGAGTGAAATGTGAATTCTGCATTTAGTGTCAGGTTTGATGATGATAATTAATGGAACATTGGACCTCACTGTTTGAAATATTATGTAGAGATATAAACATACCTTCAGATATATAAAGTAGTTAATTTCTATTATATCTAGTGGATATAAAATGCATTGCGATACGTAAAAAGTAAAGCTATCCCTGTAACAGGCCGTGAAGGCCCGTAGGGTTGTGAGACATTGAGGGTCCCGCACTATCTAGACAATCGGCTCAAATATGGCGATAAGGTTGTCTGCCTTATGCACCATCCGCGCTTTACTCCCTAGGATAATTATTTAATTAATTCCTGGTACTCATTTCTCTTAGAGGCTGAGTTGGCCCCAGGGCCATAGTGCAACTGGAAGGATTAGGTCAATTGAAAAAATCCAATGACCTCATTGGGACTTGAACCCGCGACCTTGCGGCCTGCAGCATAGCGTCTCAACCAACTATGCTACCACGTGCCCCCATTGCGATACATATTTAACAAATTATTCTTGGGCTATCAGTCATGTAAAAATGGAGCCAGAATTTAATATTTCAGACACTGGCTCTGTCATCAAGTTTTGGTGTGATGAGTGATGCGTTTGTCCACTCGGAACCTCATGTTCCTGTCCGGGCACAGATCACTGAGGGAACAGTGGGCAAATTCATGTGGTCAGTCATGGTACACTTCATATTGCTTGCTAGCCATCATAGTGCTTCTTTCCAGTGATGACCAGTGCCTTGTTGGTAGCTGGTTACCATCCTAGACTTGGAGTGATGCAGTTTGTCAGTTATCCTGCAATTCAATGCTGGACAGTCTGGCTACTGAAGACACTGTAAAATAACCCATAAAAAGAAATATTTCATAAGTTTGTCATCAAGATGTGGAGACAGTCTCCAGAACTCTGGATACAGAATCACATCAGATGTTGTAAAAAAAACTGTTCATATGTTTGTTGCAGCGTACATGCCGATGCCTGGTGGGAGCTCAGGATCAAGCGCGGCGCCTTATCCACCATACCCGACAGGTTTAAGTTACCAGCCTGCTGCGTCTAATCAGTATCCATACCCGCCGTACCCTTCTGTATACCCCAATTACCCTTCAACTTCATTCCCATATCCACCTAGCACAAATCATGCCTTTCCCTCATACCCATGCTTCCCAGGACCCCCTCAATCAGGGAAAATCTCGGTAATAACCTAATCAGAATAAACCAAATAATAAACTTATAATTACATCTGTTAAATAAGAGGTAAAAAGAATTCCCTCTGCTTAATTAAGTAGCATGCCATGAAGACATATGAGATCTATTTTGGGAGTACGTGGAAGTGAGAAGTCAGCCCAGTGCTCCAGCTTCTTTAGTCCCAGGGAATTGGATGTGAGCCTGGATGGGCCCCAGGATCACCAGTTTTGGTGCTGCGGAGAAGAGAAAAATCTATTTCCTCTGATAGGAATCAAATTTCACTTAAGTGTTGCTCAAAATTCTTAGTGGATCTCAGATCTTAACTCAAATTGTAGGTAAGCAAGGGATTTAAAACTTCTCGCTGCTATTGGTGCCGGTTACCGGGCTGTAACTTAAGGGCAGCATGATGCTAGACTCGCTCACGATACTCTGGCATGTGGGTCCTAATGGTGAAGGGAAGAAAGTAACCTCACGAGGCTGTATTCCCCCTAATGTTATATTTTAGTGTCCTGTTGCACTGATTTTCATCCATTATATGTATACAGTGGCCGTCCTGTAGTGCACACAATTTCACCTGTCACTTCACAACATGTTTCGGCAACATAGTGCCATCATCAGATGTCCCAACTACGTCAATCTATTGCATTGCTTGCCCTCATATGTTTTCACAAACCATTTAAAAAGTATTTAAAAAGTCTGTATATAGCGAGTGTAAATTTATCGTAGTTGACAAATACGGACTTTTAAATACTTTTTAAATGGTTTGTGAAAATATATGAGGGCAAGCAATGCAATAGGTTGACGTAGTTGGGACACCTGATGATGGCACTGTGTTGCCGAAACATGTTGTGAAGTGACAGGTGAAATTGTGTGCACTACAGGACGGCCACTGTATGCGTATATTGGAAGTATTCCCCCTGTTAATTATTTAAGCAGTTAACAGAGGAAGCCAGGAGAGCTCAGTTGGTACAGCAGCAGGCTACAGGCTGGATAGCAGAGTAACTGGGATTCGATTTCTGGCAGGGCAAGAGAGTTTTTTTTCTCCACAGCATTCAGATTGGCTCTGGGGCCCACCTACCCTTTTAAGAAATGGGTACTGTGGGTTAAGC